CTGAGGCAGGAGATTGCTTCAGCCCAGGAGTTTGATTGCTGTGAGCTAGGCTGATGCACTCACTCTAGCTGGGCAGCAAAGTGAGACTCTGTCTCAAAAAAAAGAAAAGAAAATCATACAGTATTATCTAAGTACTCAAAATTAGATTCTTCATATGCTTTTCAGGTTTCTAGATTCACAGAAAAATAGGAAAAGTAGATAAGTAATAATATTGTATAGTTTGAAAGTGAGTCAATCTAAAATTTATGATGAAATAAATAAATTTAATATCAGATCCAAAGATAATATAATAACAGGTAAATTCATACCTCTGAATGCCTGGGAATTAGATCCAATACATCCCTTTGCTCATGGACCAGTGGAATGTAAGCCCAGGGTTGGCATTGCTAAGGAGAAAGGGTCTGGGTACTTGTCACTCCCATGACATAAACTGGCATCTGAAAAGAAAAGTGGTATTGTGCTACATATCCTGGCAACTGGCATTATCAGAATAATGAACCCAGAACAGAGCCATCATACTGACCTCAGTAGCTGTGATGAGTCTAGTTGCAGCTGCAAGGATCCTAACAGCCTTGCTGAACAACTTCAATATGTACTTCATCCTGTCAACAGGGTGAAGAGAAAGCATAGGCTAAGAGGAAGTTTCTGTGGGGTGGACAGAGATGCTTTACATAACTAGCTGATTGTTTTTGGCATTCAATAAAAAAACCTTATACCATAGATATATTTATTTTGTTCTTTAAAGAATTCCTTAAGATAGGCCCATGTCTTACAACAATGCAAGCACTCTGTGGTTTTTCACTAAAGATTATATATTTCCCATGCCTGGTTAAAGAAGTGCCAGGTGAGAGGGACTAAAAGAGTTTTCTGGCTGCTACACCCCCTCATCACTACCTCCTTCCCACCCCTGTACCCCATATAGCTACGTGATAGAAGAGTAGAAGCACAGCAGAACAAAGGACCAATACCTGGGAAACACAATGACTTTGCCAGTATTTCATTTACTGTCTGGATGGTGCCATGGACGACAGCTGTACCAACCACCTTCCCTGTAATTTGTCCCCTCCTATTAACAACAGCCACGGTCTGATTACTGATGGAGAAGTGAATGATAGATTGGGGCTGGGGACACCTTCTGACATTACCTGGATTTAAACATACCATTGAATGCCTGGAACATGGGGGAGAAGTCACATCTCTTTTCTCAGTATTTTGTCCAAACAACTTGACCTTCCTTCCCCACTTGACTTTCCTTCCCCTACTTGACTTCTTCTTCCCAACTTGACTTCTTCTTCTCTCATTTCCCAAAAAGCCTATCCTACACCAACTCAAATGTAGAAGACTGGAAGTGCTGAAAATGATCCATTGGATTCCAAGATATAGTTTATATGATGTACATCATGGATCAGGAAAAGAAAATTTTATTTTATTTTTTCATGTCAGAAAGGTGATGTACCAACATCCTAACAAAGTTTGAGGAGGCACATCTCACACATGTGCATGAAAACCCAATCATCAGCCAGGCGGTGGCTAAAGCCTGTAATCTAGCACTCTGGGAGCCTAGGCGGGCAGATTGCTCGGGTCAGGAGTTGAAACCAGCCTGAGCGAGAGCAAGACCCCGTCTCTACTATAAACAGTAAAAATTGGCCAACTAATATATATAGAAAAAATAGCAGCATGTGGTGCATGCCTGTAGTCCCAGCTACTTGGGAGGCTGAGCCGTAGGATTGCTTGAGCCCAGGAGTTTGAGGTTGCTGTGAACTAGGCTAGTGCCATGGACTCACTCTAGCCTGGCAACAAAGCAAGACTCTGTCTCAAAAAAACCAAAACAAAAAACCCAATCATCAGCTTATGAACTACAAAAGGATTTAATTTTTTTTTTTATCAGATTCAGTGTACTGGCGGAGAGTAGACAAAAGGAGGCCAATAGAAAGAAGGGTATGTGTGTATGTGTGTGTGAGTGAGATAAGGAGAAAGGTAATCATTATTTTCTGCCTTTAAGATCACCTGCATCATGTTAGTTGGAATCAGTGTCATTTCTCTGGAACAAGTCTGAATGGAGGAACACCTTAAGGAGAAAACCAAAAGACAACAATGACTAACTAGAGTCAATTTCACAATAAATGATTATGATCTCATTCTAAGGAAAACTCTAATTATGCACAAAAAGTTAAACACAAGGATAGGTTTTTTTTATTATTATATATAAAACTTTTATACATAATAGCAAAAATTTAAATATTTAAGTGGGAATACTTAAATAAGTTATTATAATCTACTTGCTGGAGTAAAGTGACTATTGAAATTATGGTTTATAGCTAACTTTCTTTCAAACATATATAAAATAGAGAGAACAGAGTAATGAAATCTCAGGCACTCATAACCAGCTTCAACAATTATCAACACGTAGCCAAAATTAGATTTTAATGATAGAAGAAATACTCTTGATATAAGTGAAGATGAAAAATCAATATGATTTATTCATGTTAAATAAGCAGGGTGGGAGCTGGGTGCGGTGGCTCAGCCTGAATCCTAGCACTCTGGAGGCCGAGGCAGGCGGCATTGTAAGGTCAGGAGTTCAAAACCAGCCTGAGCAGAGTGAGACATCTCTACTAAAATAGAAAGAAATTAATCGCAAATAATATATATAGAAAAAATGAGCCGGCATGGTGGCACATGCTGTTCCCAGCTACTCAGGAGGCTGAGGCAGTAGGATTGCTTGAGCCAGAAGTCTGAGGTTCCTATGAGCTAGGCTGACGCTACGGCATTCACTCTAGCCTGGGCAACAAAGCGAGACTCTGTCTCAAAAAAAAAAAAAAAAAAAAAAAATTTAAGGCCGGCGCGTGGCTCAGCTGTATCCTAGCACTCTGGAGGCGAGGCGGGCGATTGCTCAAGGTCAGGAGTTCGAAACCAGCCTGAGCAAGAGCAAGACCCCGTCTTCTACTTAAATAGAAAGAAATTATTGCAACTAATATTATTTATAAATTAGCCGGCGTGGTGCGCATGCCTGTAGTCCCAGCTACTCGAGCTGAGGCAGAAGGATTGCTTGAGCCCAGGAGTTTGGTTGCTGTGAGCTAGGCTGACGCCACGGCACTCACTCTAGCCTGTGCAACAAACTGAGACTCTGTCTCAAAAAAAAAAAAGAAAAAGAAAAAAAAATTTAAAATAAATAAATAAAAAATAAGCATCGGGGAAATATGAAGGAATACACTGGAATCCTTTTGTACTTCCATCAATTTTTTTTTTTAGACAGGGTCTTGTCAGTTCTGTTGGCTAGAGTGCCGTTGCATATCCTAGTCACTGAAACTCAACTTCTGGCTCTAGTGACTCCTATTGCTCCAAGTGCTAGGATTACAGGTGGGCGCTGGGCGCGTGCTCCGAGCGCTAATCCGTAGCATTCACCGGTTTGTGATTGGCTCAAGCCTTCTCTGTGCCTGGGCTCAAGCGATCCTACTGCCTCAGCCTCCTGAGTAGCTGGGACTACAGGCATGTGCCACCATGCCTGGCTAATTTTTTGTATATATATTTTCAGTTGGTCAATTAATTTCTTTCTATTTTTAATAGAGATGAGGTCTCGCTCAGGCTGGTTTCGAACTCCTGACCTCAAGCAATCCGCCCGCCTCGGACTCCCAGAGCTAGGATTACAGGCGTGAGCCCATGCTAAATGCTCTTGATTAGCCTTTAATCAAATAAGCCTAATCTATGTATATTATTTTAAGTTGTTCTTTAACACTCTATTTGTCTTCATGTGTTTAATGTTGGAATGCTATTCTTTAAGGGCAAGTATTTCCATTTACATTACCAAAAGTCCTAGTATACACACATAGTAGCTGAACAGAGACTATATTAAGTGATATTGGGGAGTGAGAATGAGGCTTGCTTCATTTCTGAGATAAAGCAAACATCTCTCACCTTATCAATAAGATCAAGTTCCAGCTCTTGTATGTCTGATACGCTGAGGTGGGCTGTTGCTGGGCCCAGGAAAGCCAAGCAAAGATCATATACTTCCAAAGTGAGAGATCCAGGATGTACTGGAACTAACTAGAAGGAAAAGATGGCAGCTAGGAAAGAAGCAAACATGCTCCAAGAGTAATCATAGCAACTATTTTCATCCAAAGCAGAAAACATATCTTATGTTTATAGGTTATGTTACATGGTTACATATTTCAGGCATAGCACAATATGTACCTTTAATGTGATTTTCAGATCATGGCAAAATATATACCTTAGCAAATACTAATTGATAAAGAGCAGAATCTAAGTTGATTGAATTCAAGCAGAATCCAACATATATGTCCAGCTTGTTAATTATCCACAGGGAAGGGATTTCATGAAGAAAATCACATCCATACATGCTGCAATTGCCAGCAGGGGGAGAAAGCATTGGGCCAACTAATACTTTGTTTTTTCTTTGTACTATAGCTCCTGCAGAACAGCATGTTGTTTCACGTCCTTTGTTTGCATATAGTGCCTCAGTCTTTTCTTTTTATTTTCTTTCTTTTTTTCTTTCCTTTTTTCTCTCTTTCTCTCTCTTCAGAGTCTTGCTCTGTCACCCAGGATGCAGTACAATGGTGTGATTATAGCTCAATGCAGCCTCCAATTCCTGGGCTAAAGTGATCCTCCTGCCTCAACCTCCCAAGTAGCAAGGACTATAGGTGCATGCCACTATGGTCAGCTAATTTTTTAAAAAATTTTTTGTAGAGAAGGGGTATTGCTAAGTTGCCTATGCTGGTCTTGAACTCCTGGCCTCAAGCAATCCTCCTGCCTCGGTCTTCCAAAGCGCTAGGGTTACAGGCATGAGCCACTGCACCTAGCCCAGTCTTCCCTTTTTAAAACAAAGATTATGACTAAAGTAAGTTAAATTCCTTTGAGCTCTTAGAAGGAAAGGAAATATATCTACATATTAATATAAGGCATTATATTTATTACTATAAGTCAACTAAAAACAAATCCTTTGGCATACTGAGTATGGAGTCAGTTTAATGTTTTTACTTGGCTGAAAACACCATATATTCAGGTTATAAAGTCACTGGTACATTTATTTATTTATTTATTTTTGAGACAGAGTCTCACTCTGTTGCCTGGGCTAGAGTGCCATGGCATCAGCCTAGCTCACAGCAGCCTCACACTCCTGGGCTCAAGCAATCCTTCTGCCTCAGCCTCCCAAGTAGCTGGGACTACAGGCATATACCACCATGCCTGGCAAATTTTTTCTATATATTTTTAATTGTCCAGCTAATTTCTTTCTATTTTTATTAGAGACAGGGGTCTCACTCTTGCTCAGGCTGGTCTCAAACTCCTAACCTCGAGTGATCCTCTGGCCTCGGCCTCCCAGAGTGCTAGGATTACAGAGGTGAGCCACCACGCCCAGCCCAATGGTACATTTAAATATCTATACAGTTATATGTTTTGAAATGTATAAAAATGAACCTTTTTTTAATAGAAATCTTCTAATTAGATGTCTCCAATACTGTCTTAGTACAACCAGAAGAAAAAACTGCCCAGTATTATAATTAGCTGTAGAAAAAAAAACCCTCACTTTTGGTTGAAGAATCTATGTAGGTTAAAGAAAGAAAGAAAAGCAAATGTTACTTCTGTAACAAGTTTTAGACACTCAATGGAATTTTCCAAACATTCTCCTAAGAATGAGCTTTGGCCTGAGATCGCAATCTGGGAATAGCTCTACAACTCACCTGGACAGAGCTTTCTGCTTCCATATAAGTGATGATAACAATATCCTGCTCATTGCTGTTGACTAAAAAATAACCAGATCCTTCCACAAGGCTAAATATTTCCTATGGAAAAATCAGAGAAACAACATTTTGTTCCCTTCAGTTTATAAATAACTCAAAGGAAATAACTTCTACCTACCTAAGAAAGAATATGGGGTAAAAAATTAAAGGCAGTGGACAAAAGACAAAATATAATTATTAAAGTACAATGCTTAAAGATAGTGTAACTAATTATTATATAGGTGTTATATACATATATCAGTGATTTTCAATATATAAGTGAGTTTTTTTATTATTGTACCATTAATTTTAATAATCTCCCCTCCATATGATTCCATTTAACTAGACCTAGGTAGCTTCTACCTTCACATCAGGGTGATTATAGATGGTGGCATTCTCAGGCAATACAGTTACATCATCCACCAGGAGCAGCTCCACAGCTGCAGATCTGGGTAAGTTGGAAATTTCCTAGAAATGTAATAAAAACCACAAATGTGAATATAAATTTCTAATTTCTCACCCCCATGAGAGAAGATTTTAGTACCTCTCAGGTACCAAAAACAATAGACTCACAGAAATACATAGCTCTCAGATTTACATCAGTTGTAAATAACTTTTTTTTTTTTTTTTTTAGGAAGAAAACAAAGAAGAGAGGCTATAATTCGTATACATTGATTTGAACCTGAAAATTTGCTAATTTATTTATCAATCAGGGTCTCTGATGGAGTCTTTGGATTTCTAGACACAGGATTATATGCAGTGAACAAGCAATAGGTTTGACCTCCCCTCCATTAGGATTGCTTTATCTTTCTTGGCCTAATTGCTCCGGTAGACGCCAGTACTACTGTTGAATAAAGTCGGGTGACAGTAAGCACACTGTCTTGTTCCAGTCTTAAGGGCATGCTTCAACTTCCCAATTCATTGATGGGCTGTGGACTGTCATATGTATTTATCACTTTTGAGGATATCTACTCTATCTAGTTTTTTGAGGTCTTTTTTTTTTTTTATCCATGAAATTGGTGATGACTTTATAATTATTTTTCTGCATCTATTGAGATGATCATGTATGTCTTTGTTTGCTTGTGGTTATGCGGTGAATTCATGTTATTGATATTCATAGGTTTGAACCATCCTTGCATCCATGGGATGACTCCACATGATCATGGTGAATTATTCTTTTATTTTTATTTTTATTTTTTGAGACAGAGTCTCCACTTTGTGCGAGGCTAGAGTGATGCGTGCATCAGACTAGCTCAAGAACTCAATCTCCTGGGGCTTCAAGCGAATCCTTCTGCCTCACTCCCGAGTAGCGGACTACAGGCATGTGCCACCATGCCCAGCTAATTTTTCTTATTATTATGGCCAATTAATTTTTCTATTTATACGGGTCTCGCTCTGCTCAGCTGGTTTTGAACTCCTGACCTTGAGCATCCACTGCCTCAGCCTCCAGAGTGCTAGGCATTACAGGTGTGAGCCACTGCGCCGGCCTGAATTATTTTTTGATGTGGTTGTTAAATTCAGTTTACTTAGTGTTTTGTTTAGGATTTTGCATCTATTTTCATAGGATTATCGTCTGTATTTTTTTCTTCATTGTGTCCTTTCCTGGCTTTGGTATCAAGGTGATACTAGTTCATAGAATGAATAGGGAGGATTCATCCTTCTGATGTTATGGAATAATTTCTGTGAGGATAGGTACAGTTCTTCTTTTAGGGTTTAGGAGAATTTGCTATGAATCGCATCTGGCTGGGAGCTTTTTTGTTGTGTTTGTACATTTTTTATACTTGCTACAACTCAGTTGCTTGTTATTGGTTCTGATCAGGATTCTATTCTTCCAATTGAATCTTGGGAGTTGTGTGTTTCCAGAATTTATCATTCCTCTACCATTTCTATTTATGTGTGTAGAGATTTCTGTAAATCATGATGATACTTTGTATTTCTTGGCATCAGCGAAATATCTCCTTTTCATTTTGATTGAGCTTATTTGGTTCTTTCTCTTCTATTTCTACTTAATCTTGTAAGAAGTAATATTGATTGTTCTCTTCAAAGAACCAATGTTTGTTCATGTCTTTTTTATTGGTTTACATTTCATTTATTTGCTCTGAACTTGGCTATTCTTTTCTTGCTGCTGCTTTGGGTTTGGTGTTCTTTTCTATGTTCCTTGGTGTGACATAATTGTTAATTTTGGTTCTGAATAGACATTAAGGCTATGAATTTCCCATAGACTGCTTTACTGTATGCCATAGGATTTTGATAACTTGTATCCCTTTGTTTCAGTTCAAGGAATCTTCTGATTCCATCTTATTCATCATTGACCAAATGGTTGTTAGCAGCAGGTTGTTTAATCTCCATGACTTGTGGAGATTTCAGTGTTTCTCTGAAATTGGATTTCTAGTTTATCTCCCACTGTGGTCTGATAAGATACATAGTATGTTTTAATTTTTTGAATTTGCTTGAGACAGTGGTGTGCTAGGATATGATCAGGTCTTGGAGAAGGACCCATTGCTGATGATTTAGAATGATATTTCAGTAGTTTTGGGGTAGAAATTTTGTAAATGTCGTTGGTCACTTGTTTTTTGTTGTTGTTGTTGTTATTATTATTATTATTATTACCTAGCAGAGATATTGCTATATAGAGACTTGTCTTTTAAAATAATTTTTAAAAAATATGAATAGCTGGCTGGGCACGTGGCTCATGCCTGTAATCTAGCACTCTGGGAGGCTGATGCTGAGGATCGCCAACGGTCAGGAGTTGACACAGCAGGGCAAGGAGTGAGACCCCTCTACTATAAATAGAAAGAAATTAGTTGGCCAAGTTTAATATATAGAGAAAAATTAGCCAGGCATGGTGGCACATGCCTGTAGTCCCCAGCTACTCAGGAGGCTGAGGCAGAAGTATCGCTTAGAGCCCAGGAGTTTGAGGTTGCTGTTAGCTAGGCGGACACCACAGCACGTAGCCTGGACAACAGAACAAGACTTGTCTCAAAAAAATATATATATATGGATGCTCACGTAATTGCATGCATCCTTGTGCAGTGGCCATGCTAATCTTCTATGTATCGGTTCCGATTTTTAGTATATGTGCTTCCAAAGCAAGCATGGTCCTTTTCTAGTGTGTTGTGTAATCCAGTGTTTCTTTATTGTTTCTGATTCATATGTCTGGTCCAGCCTGTCAATGGTGTGAAGTCCCTGGCAAATACCATGTACTGTTTATTTCTTTGCTTATGATCTAGTAGGATTCCTTATGAATCTGGGAGTCCTGTGTTAGTGCAAACATATTTGGGATATATTAGTATCTTCTTGTTAATTGCTCCCTTTCCATTATATAATCCATCTGCCTATTTTTTTTTAACCACTGTTGAGTTAAAGTCTATTTCATTGATATTGGATGGCTACACCTGCTTTCTTCGTGTTCCATTTGGAATATGTTTTTCCATCTCTTCATTTGAGTCTATGTGATTCTGTGGTTAGATTTGTTTCCTAGAGAAAGGCAGATACTCTGGTGGTTTTCATCCATTCAGCTGGTCTATGTCTTTAAAGTGGGTCATTCTTGACCACCAATTGGAGTGTTAGTGTTGAATTGTGGATGCTGTCTCTGTTCATCATGTGGGTGCATACCTTATTGCTTGTTTCCGCTCTTGAACTATTTTAAGAGTAAGAGTTAACTTTATGATTTTTACAATGGTGGGTCATTCATTTACTGTTCCATGTCATAATGCAGTCGATATTTCCTGTAGGGCAGGTCTAATAGTGACAAATTCCCTTAAATTTGCTTGTCTTGAAAAGTCTTTATTTCTCACATTATAAAACTTAGTTTTTGACAAAATTCTAGGCTGACAGTTATTCTGTTTATGAAGACTAAAAATGGGGCCCCAATCTCTCTGTTAATGTTTCTGCTGACATTCTGCTGTTACCTGATGGGTTTTCCTTTGTGCCTTGTGTTCCGTTGGCTCCTCCCCGAGACCCCTCCCACTGCTGCAGAGCCCTGTGGCTCCATCCCAAGCTCCAGTGCGCACTGACCCTGAACCAGCTCCAAGGACTCCCTGGCTGCATAGACCTCACAGCCATGCTCCTGAGGCTCCACTGGCTGCCTTCGAGAATCCAACACTCTGCCAGGACCCACCAGTCTCCAGCTGCATTGCACTAGACCTGGATGAAGTGTTGTCTCTTGCAGCTTGTAGAATTTTCTTCATTTTGACTTGGCCAAGTTGATGACTAGAGTCTGGGAGAGGTCCAATTACTATGAATCTGCCTGGTCTTGATGACCATCTTGTGATCTGGATATCTCTGGCAATACAGGGAATTCCCCAAATGAATTCCCTTGATAAATTTTTCCATGCTTTTTTCTTTTTCTTTTTCTTCCTCAGGAACTACATCAATATATTAGTTCAGTTCACAAGTTCCCATATTCTCTGAGTGATCATTCCATTCTTTATTCTCTTTTCTGCATCTTTGATGAGCTGGGTACGTTCAAGAGCCTTGCTTCAAGTTCTGAGATCTTCTTCTGCTGATTTATCTGTGTGAAGCTTCTTCTTCCTTATTTTGAAATTTCTAAATGACCTTTCATTTCTTTAAGTTCATATTAATCCTTCTTATGTTGTCTAGCTCTTTAGCAACTTTTCATTTTTTTAATTGATGTCCTGAATTATCTTTTGGCTTTTTGTTGATTTTAACTTTCTCTTCAATTTCATTTCATCTATTTGCCATTCCACATTCTGAATCATTCCTGAAATTCAACAATTTCCTTTTTGAGGTCCATTGTGATCCCTGGAGGTGTTTGAACTGTTTTGTCATGTTGCCAGAGTTCTTTTGCTGGTTTCTCTCTCTGAATCCTCTCAGCTCAGGGATGATAGGTCTGTAGCAACTATCTCCATGCTTGGAACTCTCACCACTTAGTGGAAAGGAGAGTTTCCTAGATGAAGCTTTTCGTTCTTACTCTGGAAATGACCCAAAGAGGAAGGGTGGGTGCACTAGAACCTATAATACAGCTTTCTGTTTTGTTCTGTTCCCCTGGATTGTCACAGTTTAGCTGGTGCTGGATGATCTCATGTGGAGTGTTGGGTGCC